AATTTTTACTAAATATGTGGAAATTAGGCAATGTTCATATTATCTTAGATAAAAATTCATAAAAATTTTTCTTTTTAAATCTAAGATTTAAAAGTTTAATTCAAGATTCCATTAGGTATAATAAGTATTAATAATAATAGTAATAATAATCCATAATATATTATATCCTAGACATATAAACCGTCTCCGCTCAGAACCGTTTTTCGTCTACAATGATATAATATCATTGGATTCAAATTTAATTCCATTCATTACAGCAACCCACTTGTAACCTACTGTACAGCAGAGCGACATCCACAACTAACCAGCTTTTTTATTATTATAATTTTAATACTTAAATTATTTAATTTATTATCTTTGTTTGAATTTAATCAAAACAAATCAATATTTTATCTTGAAAAAAAATTTGCACGTYTTTCACAACAACTTTATGAGATAACATTATTATTGAAATTAAGTTTTATATATAAACGTCTAGTCATCAAATAATAATTATTATTTATGATTTAATTAAAGTCCACAATATACATTTTTGTTGGTGCACGGTATTTAAATCTAATGTTGAACGTAATTTATATTAAATTATTACAATATAACTTAATCTTATATATAATATGCGTCTACTTCCTACAAAATTAACATACTGATTTATGATTTTCGGCGAATTAAAAATTTAAATTTATAATACTTTACCATGGTAATATATTATTGTTATCACCTTATCGGCCATCAATTATGCAGAGATACAGTTATACTTTAATAATATTATATTCATTTTATACGATTACTCTATTTTGGCATAATGATATATTATCCTTTAGAAATGGGTTTTCATGAATCATGATATTCAAATTGTCTATACATTTTAATAATATAGTTATAATTCAGAATGATTAGATACCTTTGAAGTTCAACTTCATAAGATATGTACCGTGCTATCTGCGGAAAAAATTTCATCATATATAAGTAATTTAATATTTTCCTCTATTTCCTGTTATTTGTTAATTTGAATTAAACTCGATAGGGAGCATCCAATTCAACAACAATGAAAAATATGAGTGTCGGACTTGTACGTAGTTACCTTACGCTTAAAAAAGTATCGAGCACATTCGCGAACAGYTGCTGAAGACAGACGTAGTTTGAGCAGGTGGTCAACGGCTATAGAACGAAAATTAAGCGGATGCCAGAGTTATAGAAAATACGTCTTTAGCGATAAAATATAATAATTTAATAATTACGTTGTGTGCACTGCGGACGAAGGAGAGAGAAAGTTAGTAAGTTACCATTAACTGCATGTCTGCGGTTTGATCATATTTTATTATAATATTGTGGACTGCTGTTGTTGTTGCTCCAGCCATGCTCAGCAGTGGCGTAATTAGGAATTTGGTTGAGGAAGGATTATATTATGTTTTTAGCAAAATCTGTAAGCCTCATACAATAACCTACCCCATCAAATATAAATTGTTTTGCAGAAAAATRAAAGTTATTTGGGGGGGGGGGGTGAATCTATCCCCCTCATCGCCCCTTGATTATGCCCCTGATGCTCAGCAACAACCCAACTACATCGCATATAAGACAATGCTAATGCCACGATTTAAACGAAATTGCGCGGGAAAAGTAGTCAACGTATTATTATTATTATTATTAACACAGACCATTCGACCGTGGTTGCGAAGCTCAGCCTGTATGACGCACGCTCGTCGTCAGATACGGTCCCTGCGCACCCCGTTTCGGAAGGGTGCGCATGCGCGCCGGCCGTAGCCCTCAATAATGATAATAATACGGCTCGGTGCGCGTCTGCAGCGGAACTCGGCGGCATTTACTGCATGCGACACACGCTGTCGGCGTCGGTCCTAAAAAAGGGGAGTGGTGGGCGGCGGCGGCGGCGGAGGGCACGGAGTAATGATGATAATAATAATAATAATATACCGAACTCCACGCCGAACGCACTAGCTGCGCCACACTACTGTTCACYAGTAGTGACAGCGGTCGGTCGTCCGTCGTTAGTGTTTTGCGTTTTTTTCCCTTACAGAAATTATAGTTTTTCCGATATTTTATGGCTCCGCATGGCAGTTGAACGGAACCGTCGACAACGATCGAAATCCCGTCGTAATAATACTGATCATACAACATCAAAAACGTTGGTTCTCGCCSSGACGGGAATAAAATTAGTTTTTGAGTTATCGATTAAGTTTTTTGTTCTGTTCCCCAAACCCGTCTCGTGTGCGACAAAACGCCGCGCGAATTGTGCATAATATTGTACAGACCACGGACAAAGTATCGTGAATATGACGTATCTTTATCACGTCCGGACGTGATACACCTCAGTTGTCGTAATATTTTATCATCAAAACATTATAGTATAAGCACACACACACGCACACCCCACCCGATTGTCGGTTTTCTTGCACGACATAATAAGCTCGCGCCGCTTGGTAAGTGCATCGGAATAATATTATCCAATACGCGTGTCTCGCATACGGAGAAGCTATGGCGACCGACGTCAAATACAGGACCGATGACGCGTCCAACAACAACGTGACCGGAAAAAAAGCGCAATTATTCCTAAAAAAGGCCGAAGTCGACTTGTCGTTCGAAAATCTCACCTACACCGTAAATACGTTCAGCAAGTTCAAGAAAGGTTAGTGTCGGTTTTGCGCCACTATATCACATCTTATGTTCTAGTATTATTTTAATATATTGACGGAATTAGTAGGTATGAATAATAGGCAATATGCCAATAATATTATACTACCTATTATAGTATATTATTAAGGCACCTACCATTAAACAATAAAATCATGGTGTAATATGTACATAGGAAATCACCGGTTCTTCATGGTATAAGTTCCTAATACCCATATAGTAMCTACTTACAATAATATGTCAATGTACTTGTTATATTATAATGCAACTGTGTGTATACAGTTAGGTACTGCGTTAGTTGTAMAATYAAAAGTTGTGTAGTACCTACCTGCCTATAATTTATTGAATCAGTTTTATTTTAGCGTTATATTAGTCAATTATTTACACGAAAAAATGATAACGATGGCTTGTGCAGATAGTAGGGTTTAATAGTATCTCAAAATCAACTGATTTTCACACAAATGAACACATCATATTAATAGTATAATGTGTTTACTATTGTTATCATTGTTTTTAGATCCACTAGTGGAACGTGTGATAAAACGACGGTTATATAACCGAAAACTATATTTAAAAATCAATGTTCGGAGGAAGTGAAATATTTTTAACGAGACTTTCGAGAAATGTTGGTTGTAACGTGTCTTTAAATATAATGGTTATTAATATTGTTACATTGTTACAGGTCAAATATAACTATTAGGGCTAAGTAGGTACGTATAAAATATGTGCACTTAATTATGCATTTTATATTTGTATTGTATAGAATAGTTTTTTTTTTTTTTTTGAGAACTATTTGGTAGAACCAACATTGAATATTAAATATAATGTTCTAAGAATATAGGAAAAAAACTATAAATTTCTATGGACGTAAGGAATTAATGAAGCAGAATTTAAAATTTAAATTCATTGTATTAAAAGTTAATTATAATAGTTATTAATAATGGTTATTAATTTCATTAGGTATCGAGTTAAGTATACAGAATTATACTTATAGCCTATAGGAGGTATATTACAGAACATATTATACATCTTGCTTATATACTAAATAGTAAATAAGGAGGTAATACACATACGGCCATACGGRTGTACAATAAATTAGTTCTCAGACTTTTAGTAAGAAATAAAATAAAATAATACACAATATTATATTGTATTTATAATATGATATGTAAACTGTGGATCATATTTAATAGGAAAAAATTATTTTTATAAAAAAAAATTWAAAAATGATTGTCAAGGTAAAATACGGGGTCAAGTTTATAGGAATAATATAAATAGTAATATAGGTAGGTACAGTTAAAAAAAAAGGTCAAACTCTGATTATTTGTAGTTATGGCCTATGGGCTGAGGAGCTGATAAAAAAAGCACTTTGTTATAATGTATCAAATACATTATTACAAAGCTAGTAAGGATACATAAGCTACGTGATGGTCACTTACTACGCTTTGTTATCATCCTAGAGTAAGATAGTAGGTAGCGTAATATTATTATTTGTTAGGCGCTTAAAATTATATCGTTTCAAAAAACGATTCTGAATGAAACTTGTCGGCTTATAACGTCCATAAATTAAAGAACGTTTATAACTTTTAAGCTGCTCGTTCAAAATKTGTAGAATATAGTAACGCAATTATTTTTTTATTATTTCAAGAAAAACAGTCCGCAGCAACTGTGGCCATWAGACGAATTAACAATATAATATGATATGTATAATACTGTGATATTGTATTCAAATGTTAACTATAGGATATTAACTAGGCCAGGTACTCTATCGTCCAGTATGATCGATATAATTATAAATAATCTGATTTAGAAAAATAAAAAATAAATTCAATCCACCACATATAGTATACATTTTATTTTTAGTAAAAATATATTACATCCTATTCCTAAACAATTATTATTATTATTTATAACGTTTTTGTTGTTTTTCGTTTGATATATTTATATAGAGTTCCGCTCATTATCATTTTTTGGAATGCATTCGAGGATTTATCATTATAGTTTTCCATTATGAATACCCACACAAATTTAATATTTTCGAATAATTTAATCTACTAAATACACATTGGGATACATATTTGCAAATAGGAATAGTATTTGGTTTAAAAGTTTAATTTGATTAGCCATTAAAAAAATTATGACACCTATATATCTAACGGATAACCTTTAAAAGTATACGTAGTGTAATTTCCACGATGTTTATGGGCTCAAAAAAAATTATTTTTTTAATTTTATCAAACATTAAATAAATATAATAAATAATGCGTTATAATTCTCAATGGTTTAGGAAGTGTACTAGTTGCTTAATAAATATTTATATACTAATACATTTAATTCGATGTTCTTTGTCAATACAATAATTTATAAATTCCAAGGTTAAATTATTATTCTATAATTTTGATATTTTTAAATTTCTATATTTCTTTGTAGTTATATGSATTATCTGTGATTCATCACTTTAAATAAAGTCTATGACTAGCTTATAATTTATAGGTATAATCTAAACAAGTTTTAGCAAAATCTTTAGTTTTAACCTTTGTAGTCTTGTAAGTAATTTTTGGAGTAATTTTTGTAAACTTTAAACGGTTTTTATCAGTTTAAATCATAATATTTCTACGGTTATTGATTTTTTTGATTTAATACTAATAAATAATAATATTTTACTCTTATAAATTACAATATACATACGAAAATTTATTGATTATACTCATGAGGTTAGTATTATATATTATATTATATTGTACTTATATTTTGTCATAACTTYCATAAGTTATAATAAAATAAACAATATAATATGAATAATCATTATTTTAAATATTTCCGTAACCAAGGTTGTAGAGGTCAAGTTTTATTGATAGCTCATTAATGAAATAAGTACCAACTACCTATACATACGAGTTAGGAAATATATCAACTTCATAATTACCTTATATTATTCATATCAGAAAATTAACAGTAGGTATTATGCATTTGTGATAGTTTGAAAGCTGTAGTATTTTTAAAATTCGATTATTTCTAATAACTTTGCTTTCAAAATTCAATCATACGACAAATAAACCACTTTCCTATACCGACGTGAATCGAAATAATTAAACTAGCATAGTATTGAATATATTGTAGCCTAAAGATACATTATCATATAACAACTATAATCTGTATCCTGTCCTAGATTTATATTATTATTTTAACATTTAAATATTTAATTTGCACAATGTAACTGTATTCTGTATTCCGACATTAGTTATCTCTTATAAACTGTTTAGCTTTAAAATAAAAATATAAAATATCACGATTGAGCTAGAATAAAAATGATGATTTTTATAATATAAAATAATAATCAAATAACGTACTCTTAAATAATTACTTAAGTTATTAGTTTCGTATACTATTTTAGTAAAACACAATTATTTGAAAAGATTTAGATTGTAGAATGAAGGACTTAAAGCATTTACAAGATATTTATGGTATGCCGTTTATATTTAATTTGATTATTTTAATTTTTAGTTAAGTATTTATTAAAGATATTTTGTATCTTTTGTAACTATTAATACTTATAGGGACAAGTTTACATGCCTTCTCAGCTCATCCATATTGAGCTTTGTGATTAGAAAATGTTTTCATAATACCAGGAGTCTAACTTTTGTTATATATTTTGCATGTTTGACTATTTTTTATGTATTATATTCAAATTTTAATATTCACATAAACATACGTTTTAATGAATATTTTATTTATATATATGTATATATAAGGTAAAAAAATGATATGCCTGAATAGATATTTGATTTATATTAATTTGTGGCCTACATTATATACTATCGATATATCTTCACACATTCCAAACCTATATTGTATATAATTAATTTACTGATAAAGTGATGATGATTTCACCAATTGGTGTCAGCTTGTCAATGTTATAGATATTTTAAATCTTAATGATTTATGGTTATTGYTGTTGGTTTTAGTTTTCCCTAACTTATGTTAGGATTTTTAATAACATGAATTATTAATTTTACTAATAAAAATGTAATGTGATAATTTTTTTTCCTGTGCATCAAATAAAGTTCTTTCTTATATCAATCATGATCTGATTTACAAAATGTCGAAAACTTACTTCTGTATATTACTTCTGTCAGGAAACCTTTAAATAATAATAAAAAAAAAACTAGTAAAAATATTTTTCTTATTGATACCGACGTTATCATATCTTCTTCTTTTCCTTCGCCTTCTCTCCCAACCATTTGGGGTCGGCCACCCTGGTCCTCAATTTCCTATCCGACGTTATCATATGGTAATTAAAATRTTTCGGTTTTTAATGTATATTTTATAATTGATGTAGTGATTATGCAAATTTAGAGATTTCTTTAGGGCATGTCAACTTATCTTATAAATAAATATATATAAATGTAAGTCTTTGCAYTGTGCACTGAAAAAATCGTAGGAAATAATAATAAAAGGTACTACATACGAATTAATATGAGAAACTTTGTATTAGATTTTCTTGCATTTTGACCTAACAAAATTTTTTTATCTACATGCATATATAAAAAAAAAACAATCTTTAAATGTCCATGGTTAATTCAAAATATATCAGTACCTACCATGTTTAGAAGACATTATATCAACATTTGGTGAAATTTCAAGTATCTATGGTTATTTGTTTCCGAAAAAAAAAAAACAAAAATTCTCTTTTTATCCTATTTTTATTTTTATTTTTGGAACTTTTTACTTTTGACTTCTCAAAGTATCAACTAGATTCACTTTCCTATCAGAAAATATAGTTGAAAACCTACGCATATGCTTACTGCGCAAAAATATGATGACAAACATAAAAATAAAAATAAAAATCGCATCATTGAAAAATCAATACACTCATTGTCGCTCTGCTTAAAATCTTATGCTGGATGATAAGTAATTTTAATGTAACCATTTTAATGATTAAATTACACGAAGGTGACAGGTGAAGTTGGTGGTGGGTGTAAGGATATATATTAT